AGAAGTATTTGTCTATTTTCTGACCGTATGTTTTTATAGATAATTACCTATATTTAAAGAAAAACCATTAAGATTACCAGTAATGTAATTAATTTTCAAATCAAAACGGATAATCTATTTCCCGTTTAATACCTAATATAATAAAGAAAAAGTACTTTTCTGACCCTGTCTTTCAATAGATAATTACGTGCAATGAAAGAAAAACCATTTAGATTGTCATTAAGATCGACTATTTCAGACCACTTATTTTCAAATTAAAATGGATTACGTACTTAATTTATGATAAGGGCAGATAAAAACATTGAGAAGTATTATCAGTTTATCTGTAACAATTTTGCAATTCAGGTGTTAAAATGGCATTTACTTTTTAGTCTCTTTTTCCCTCTGAGAAAAAAACATTTTTTTAAATGTTCGCGTTAACTTATTAATCAGTAACCTTTAACAGTTGCTGAACTATTTACAAAATTTTAAGTGAAAGAAAACAAAGAAATATGAATTAAAACAATAAATGAAAATTGATGACTGTCACAGAATCGTAATTCGAAAAAAAAGTTCGTTAGTTCTACTTAAACGAGGAGATACCAACATTAGACAAAATATTAAACGTAATTAGTGATGATAATTCTTCTCCCTTTGGTCCAGACAGGTTATGGAAATTACTTTCCATAACTTATCTCGTAAATCGAATTTCGCTATGAAAATTAAAGTAAAAATCCAATTTAAACGACAAATTATTTGAGAGCAAAAGCTATATTTGGAATTCTCGATCGAACCTCTGAACAGTGCAGTGTAAAAGTGTTACTTCTTCTGGACTAAAAACTGTAAGTTTGATTTTCCTATTTCATCTATAACAAACCAAGGGTAAACAACTATTTGCTGATTTAACGTGAGGTTAATTACCAGTCTTTCCGGTAATGATCCATTATATGCAACAGGGCCGTATTCAGACTATTTAGCCCAAGCATGAAAATAGATTGAGCAGCGGAAACTTTCACCATGGAAAGTTCTGGCAATTTACTAGTACAGTAATCATCAAAATTATATTCTACAGCTCTTAATCAACCTACAAATCAATTTACAAACAAAAAACAAGCAATTTTACTTCGCTCACTCCCAAACTCTAATACTGAAGTTTACCTTAATGCAGTAACTTCTTAAAGTGGATCCCAGAAAAATACATTGTATTTCTAAAATTATAAATGATTGCATTATATCTTTTTTACCAGTGAACAAACAGTCGATGAGTTTCTAGCAAACGACAATGGAATTGTAGTAATTAATCAAGAACGTATTCAAGCCCGAAGACTAAATGAACGATTGAATATTTTCAACGTATGTCCAAGTATTCCGCACAGCGTCATAGAAGAACAACTTAAAAACGTAATAGTAAAAGTATATATTTAATAACTCCAATTGACTTTCTCAGGATAGGGACTTCAAATCCAGCATTCAAGCATATGTTGAGTTTCCAACGATACACTTTTATAGCGCCAACTAACTTAGACCAATTACCTGATTCTATGTTAATTAATCATTAGGATAACAACTATCGAATTTTCTTTTTCATCGAAAAGCAATATTGCTACTTATGCAAGCAGCAAGGACATAATTAGACTCCTTCAAACAACACCCAAAATAATGTTTATCTACACTCTCTACAGGAAGTTCACCAACCAGCTCTCCTTTCGACAATTTCTTTTACAATCCTCTCCTACTGAGACTAAAACTACAGTACAACAATCAGCTCCTTTGTCGTTAAATTCCTCTACAAAATCCTCTCTTACCGAGGCTGAAACGTCTAGCAAAATCATTACCTCTCAATCAAATAAGCATACTCCGATAAGCTGCGACCTACCCAATGAGACTCAAATGGATACTTTTGATCAAGATTCATCCTTATCCCAGCATCCTAAACGAAAACTATCTGATATAATATCGCCCCCCAATAAGAAATAACGAAAATGCCTTCGCTGAACCGAAGCCACGAAGCAAAAAACCAAAAACTCAACAAGAAAACAACAGAAACCTAGTAGAAGACTTTAGCAAATGCACCAGTCAATTCTTCAAAGAAATCTCCAACATTGGATACTTAGAACAGGAAAAACTTATTGACTTCTTTGAAAATGCTCATGGTTATAAATTTCAACAGCACAGGATATTATTTTGATTGATTTAAATTTGACAACACTTGCTTGCTTTTAGAAGATTTGTGAAGATTTTCGATTGTAAATTGCTATCAAGTAAAACCAAATAGACTTTAAAAAGTACAAGTACGAGGATTTGTCCAGCAACAATATCTTTTTTTATTATTATTATTTAAACACAAAACCACATCAGAACTTCACGTCGAACCTTTGTCGTTAACAGACGTGTTTAATAGTTAGTCTAATGGTTTTTTGGTTTTTTGCGATATTATTTGTATCCAGTTGATAAAATTGCAATAAAGTGTAGTGTTACTATAAAAATAAATTTGAACTACTTGGAGAAAAACTGTAAGTAGTATTTATTATAATATAAGTATCTGGAATTGGCGACCAAGGCAAGATCCATATCGAAGCAGAGGACGACCACCGACTAGATGGACGGATGACATCAAGCGTATCACCACAAACTGGATGCAAGAAGCTCAAGATAGAAATAGGTGGAACATTTTACGGGAGGCGTACGTTCAGTAGTGGACAAATATAGGCTAATTGATGATATCAAAACAAGTTCCTGGTACAGAATTACAGCGCTGTTACTTCATTTAAATATCCAACCAAAAACCAAGCCATTGTCCTATCTGCTCTCAATGGAATAAAAATAAACGAATATGTGATAGCAATAGGAAATATAGTAAAACCAGAAAATATATTATTTGCATCCCGCATCTCGAATAACAGAATTTGTATTTACCTCTCCAATACCGAAGTCGTCAACACATTGCTGAAGACACATACATCAATATCCATTAATGACACTGACTTAAATTGCCCTAAATGTATGTCAAAAGGTCATCGCGAAAGAGACTGCCCTGTTCTATCACAATTGACATCAACTTAAACACCCATTAAATCTTAATCTACAATATCACTCCCGTCTAAACCTCAAAATCTTACAAAAGAAGCAGAAAATCCTATTAATAATACCACTAACTTTCAACTCACAGCATAAGATATTCACAACAAAACGACTAAAAATAACAATCCTATTACTTTGAACACTGATGCCTCCCATCAAAAAACAAAGAGACAAATATCTGCTTACTCTCCTGAGACACATGAACGCCACCCGATCCAATAATTTTTACCAAACCCAAACATATGGTTAAGCGGCCAAAATCATCACCATCTGATATCCTCGAATCACTTGAATCTATTAAAGGTAAAATTGAATCTAAATACCCGTAATTTCCTCTTAAATTTACAGTTCTTTGCGACGCGATATGTAACGCATTAAACTCAAAATATCCTACCCCCATAGTAGAAAATTACACAACCGAGATGGTTTCTTTTAAAGAGATACTTCTATTCGCCCACGACCATATTCCTGATCGCAAAATAAAGAAAAAACTAACAAGACTTCGAAAAAAGATACAATCCTCAGTTACCGATTCATCCTCGGATATTGAAAGCGATAACTCCCTTTCCCACGTTGTAAAATAAAATGGATAATATATTTATGTTACAGTGAAATCCTAATGGTTATTTTAATAATTTGATTAAGGATGTTTGTAATAATTGGATATAGTGTTATTTCTACTAGAGTACGATTTCTGATGTTGTCTGAGGTTGATGATGTTGGGGTTTTAAGGAAGATATTTTACTTCTATTAGTTATGGATCCTATCAGATTATCGTCAGTTTCAATAATTTGTTTTATTTGATTATTCGAGAATTTTATTGTATTTAATCTGTTTTAGGAAATTTCTGGGTGTGTACTAAAAGTGGATGAATTAGCTTTGTCAGAAGTTTTTTGTTCTGTTTGGTTATTAGATGCATTTACTGTAGATAATATGTTTTGGGAAGTTTCTAAGTGTGCATTAGAAGTAGTGGGGTTTGCTTGGTTAGCGCTTCCTAATAACCAACATTCTTGTAATTTTTACAGTTAAATCATTCTCTAGAAAGGTATAATCGATAATTAGTATTGTCATGAGAGATATAATCAGGAATTGTCATCAAAAGAATCACGAATAGACATTTTTTTTAAAGGTGTGATAAATGTTTGTCTTCTAAAACTCAAGACATGGCTGTATTCACTTTCAGGCATATCTACTCATAGGAAAGTCATTTTTAAGACGGAGTTTATACCCATTTGATGTAGTTCTTGTTCAATTAACGTCTTTGGAACATTAGGACAGGAATTTAATATTACTAGTGTTTGAGCTGGAGAGATAAGTCTTCTTATTTCTGCTTGAGTTTCATTTATATTAACATATTTGTGGGAATAAAGTTGTAAATCAACTGTATTTTTATATGAAATATATAGACTTATTCTATTGTTGGTAATTCTGGAAGCGAATGATACGTGATGTGGACCAACTAGGGAACCGGCGGCTATGATATAGTCATGAAGTTTAGTTCCTTCAATACTGGAAAGCACTATAGCTTCTTTCTCTCTCGTAAGTTCTAGGTTGACTTGGAGGTAGCACTATAACTATGTGTAGAAAGTAACAAAAATAATTTTTATCTATGGTTTTATCATTTAAAAACTGATATATTTTAGAACAGTTTGCACAGTGATTTATTTTATCACTGTCAGGACCGTCTTAAGAATATCTTACTTGAATAATTTTTTCGTCTGGTTGTTGATGTAAGCTCTGTTAGATTATCTTTACTAACCTTACCTAATACATTTTATTTGCTACAAGTAGCTTAGTATCCTATATATTAAAAGTAAATGCAAAGGAAATTTTATATCAAGTTAGCTTTTCCTTTATAACTTTTTTTGATTAGTTGAAAATATATTTTACATATACCTACATATTAAATAAAATCTTTAACATGTACGATATTCTTTTAGATTCGGCGAGCTATCGGTTCTAACATTGTACCACCGCCAAGCCTGCCTGCTCCCGTCCCAACACCAACGCTGCCAGAATCAAAATTAAATGCCGCCCAATCACAAACCTCCAACTCTGCTATGAAATCATCAACCTCATCATTTAGTTTTACAACACCAAACGCAAGTGCATACTCTACACATCCAGCCCCTGCTAGATCGGATAAGCCCTCAGCCGGGATCCCATTACCGTTCCATTTGCAGTCCAAAGGTGGAAAAATCGGTAAGTATGGTTAAACAGCTTCATACTTCGGTATTATTTAGCACATGGCTTTTCAACGTATTTTTTTTTATTATTGAGTTAATGCCTCGACAACTAAGATCATTGGCATGGTACAGTCAGGTACCTAGTGTAGTGTGTGTGTGTGTGTGTGTGTGTGTGTGTGTGTGTGTGTGTGTGTGTGTGTGTAGAGTAATTGTCTTGATACTTAGCAAAGTCGACGTCATTGTCTTTGCTAAGAGACGCTTATTGTATCCGAACGTCTGCGGTCCCTTCGATGAGTACCGATCGCACAAGGATAGAGATTATTTTCATTCATTAATTTTTTAATAAACGAAAATTTCTCCACCCAGATGAGATTCGAACTCACGACCTTTAGGTTTAAAGGTAGACGCTCTTACCACTGAGCCACAGAGGGGGTTGAACGTATTTAAAAGTATTAAATTAAGTGCAATTAACATATGCTCTATATAAAACAAAGTTCTAATTAAATTTCCAAACTACAGTACTATTTATATAATTGTTTATCTACTATGGCATCAATGGGACTATCTTTATTCCGACAACATATTAGTAGTTTACCTATAATGATGTATTGTCGGAATAAAGGTATTCCTAAGCTGAGTCTCCACAAGTCCTCCCTGGTGAGTGGAAAACAATGAAATACGTGTAGGAGAATGGTAAAATTGAATGAAAAGAAATGTTATCATGTGTGTATATATATATATATATATATATATATATATATATATATATACAACTCCTTAATATTTTATAGCCTATATTGAATATGCTTTTCAATTTAAATTCTAGGTGGTCCTATAGGCAATGCTTCCCTTCACAGTAGTAATGATTCTGGTTTTTCCAATGATCCTCCACCACAACCGGAAATTGATTATTCAGACGATGATTCCAATCATGGACAAACAAAATTGTCAAGCAGGTAAGTTACGAAGATATTAAACTATTTATGTAGATGCTACTGTATGTATTAATTTATGTTCAAAACTTTTTATATGATAATAAAAGTTAATTCAGTACGTAATACATTAAAAAAAAGATTAAATTACCTAATACATCAACTACTTTAATCTTCGGCCAGACGCCCCCTAAATAATTACATCATCTGGCGCGCTGCTGATTAATTGATTTTTTTACTGTAACAATTGCAGCATCTACCACGTTTAGCGTCTTCTTGATGGGGTACTGATTGCTTCGGAAACATCCTGGACAGGAGCATTTATGTCTCCAATATTCATTAAATTAAATTATAGAATATAACACACGGCCATCTTTTAGTAATTCGTGAAACACAGTATGATGAACATAATTTATCTAGAGTATCAACTCCTCCTTTTGTTTTATTGTAATCTAAAATCAACTGTGATTTCCTAATGTCAACTGTACTTTCGTTGTGCATAGACGATAATAATATGACTGACTTACTTTTACGCGGCACGTAAGAGGTAATCATATAATCTTTTTGAAATCCAAATATTCTATATTGAACTGCCTTTGATTTATGTGGAAGAAATTCTTGACGAATTTCTCTTTTGTTTTTCTTCAGCGTCCCAAGCAGAGTAACTTTCTTCTGCAGCAAATATCTAGCTAACGGAATACTAGTATAAAAATTATTTGTGTTATGTTTCTTACTGTCATTTCTACGGACTCTATTAGAAGTTTTACAACGTTAAAGGCCGAATTTGATACGTGGTATGGGCCACTTGACTGTTTACTGCAATATATCTCTAAATTGGCGGTATAAAATGTTTGAGCATCACATAAAGCGTACATTTTTATCCCGTACTTAGCAGGTTTGTTGGGTATATATTGTATCCAGCTACACCTACCTCTAAAGGGATGGAGCATTTCATCAATTGTTGTATACTCTGACAAATTGTATGAGTTTTGACAATTTTTTATAAATCTGTCAAAAAACGATCTAATGGCCGACAGCTTGTCTATTTTACATCTATCACTCCTTGTATGTTTATCATCAAATCTCAATGAACGTGCAATAAATAGGAAACGTTTGTAGCTCATTACTGCTCGAACAGTATCAATCCCTGTGCCATCTTTTTCCCAAAGTTCCATCACATTTGTGTGATTGCCGTGCTTTATGCCAATCAAATAGAGGAGTCCAAAAAAGGCCAATAACTCACTCCTGTCCACATTCCTGCAATCTCTATCTCTCAAATATTGGGTTTTATTTCTATGTTCATTTATATATAAATTGGTAAAAATTAGAATTTCATCAACCATATCAATGTTGATAATAGTAAAAAAGCATAAATTTCTGTTTTTAGTTGACGTGCAGTTCCTTTTAATCCCAGTGGTACTCTCATTATATTTTATTGCTTTGTCTTAGATGTGGCAAAAGAAGTTTTATACCACTTACTTGTTTTATCCTTGCCAATGAATGTACCTTCAACGTTTTCGTAAAACACTTCCTCCTCATCTGACATATCTTGCTATGAACATGGATCGTCGTGGTTCTCATTAACTTGTTGTTCATCCAAATCACTATCACTTTTCAATATTTCATCTGTTTCATCTTTAATATCTGTCATATTATTTAGAATTTCCTCTAATTGTGCTTGGGTTAACACTTTCTTTGGATTTTTACGAGACATGGCGTAATCTAAAATTATAAAATATGTTATAATATAGAATTCTACAATAATCTAATATGTTTCATATATACTATTAATTCTTATAAATAATTACATTATTAACAATTTTACTTACCAATAAAATTTCAATTTCTCGAAAAAGATATTTTCAAGAAAAAATTGCGCGAATTTCACTATCAGGCGCCTTGCAGCAATTGTCTGCCTCGATGTACTATTAACAATAAAGTACGATAACTAACTAATTGGATTTGGATTTCACAAGACGATGATGGGTACCGACTAAGGATTAACTGATAAGGGAATTTTAAAAATATCACGTACTATAGCGTATCCCCTTAACACTTTACCTGGAAATATTAAGTTTACGCAGCAAATTACTGCGGCGCGCCCAGCTGAAGGTTAAAATAAATATGTATAGATAAATTATATTTCTGTATATGTATATCTAGATTATATATAATTTCACTAAAATGCCTAAATAGTATATATAATTAGTATTTCTTGGGTTTAGGTTCAATAAATAATGTTAAATTTAGATCTAGAGTTTATTATTACATTTAAATCAACTTTTTCGGCAGGTAATCTTTGCCTTTGTCAAGATTCTAAAATGTACAGGATTGAGAGCAAAAAGTGATTGTAAAACATATATAAACTTACCAAAGTAAAGTTAGACAATAACGTCAATGAACTGACAGCCAGTAAAAATTGATTGCTTACAGTTAATAACATTTAATTATGTTTTGTGTTTTTGAAAGAGGTAAAGTAGAGAAGTTTTACAACTTTAAGAGCTTTTTGTTATTTTTGTTATTTAAGTCAGATTGAAATATATTTTATTAAAAAAAAAAACAAAAAAAAACTCCAATTGTACCATGGTATAAAATATTATTAAAATTTAATAAGAATTATCCAAAATGGATTTTTAACTTTTCAGTCGATCGTTTTAGATCATCCTTAGTGAAAAACATGTATATAGTATTTAGAACTAGCTACATTATAAGGTCAGATTATCCTAAAATTCCATATTTTTATTAATTAACATTATAAATAATATAATTCTAGGTCGATAATGAAGCATTACATTTCATTAAGGTAACGCACAATTTCCAAGCTCGAAAAAGGAATCTAATGCCCTGAGAAGTAACAACCAACTAAGTCATTTCCAATATTCTGTGACATTATGTTGTAATGGGTCCCACTATGCTTAGATAATATAAGTCTCGTTTTGATGATATCCTTATGTTTTTGGACCATAATAAGGAGTTTAACTGTTGTATAGCTACTCGTTCTTGAATAATTCTGTTTTATCTTTAGTCCGCGTACACTATCTTGGGTTATATAAGTGTCGCCAGAGTGGACGAATTACAGTGAAGATTGTCACTCTGACCGGCTAATAACAAAGTGTGTTATTAGCTGCATTTGTATTGGTCTTCTGAAGCAAGATTGCTGCAAAGATGCAATCAAGAAAACTGCGTAGTGAAAAGGTGCTCCATCTTGTTGGAAGTCCAGCAAATCTTCGTCTAGAGCTACGGTGCCTTGATCGTCCCTTTGGTTCTCTAATTCATCACAATTAAAGGTTTGATATCGAGATAAATGTCGCCACTTAAATTGCCTGGCATGAACAAGGGGTCAATTATAGCATCGCCTAGTATTCCTGCCGAAACATTCAGTTTTTCAGGATATTGAGTCTGACTTCTTCTCTTCTCTGAATTGATGCGGTTCCGCATCATTCCAGTACCGACAGTTTTGTTTATTTACATTACCATTCAGCATAAAAGTACATTCATTAGTGAAACAAATATTTTTTTAGATTCTCGGTTTAACGCGAATTCTTTCAGTCATGAGTTCATAAAACTCAATTCGTCGGTCTGGATTATCATCGCCTAGTTATTAAAGAATTTGTGTTTTGTACGGGTGAAACTTATGTAATTTCAACTCCTTTCAACCCGACTCATGTAAAGTACTGTCATTGCAGATATTTGACGTGTTGATGCAGTAGGCTCTACTGCAAGATTTCCAAGGACCTTAATATGGAATGCTTCATTCAGTAATCTTAGGGCATCCCTTTTTTTATTTTGCACTGATTCTGTTTCTCTAAACTTTTCAACTAAATTGCGAACGTACACGTGACTAAGTGTACACCTACATTGGAACCGTATTTCTCCCGATCCGATATCGGGCGACGTCGGCCGACGTCGGAATAAAAACAAACTGAAGGTATTAAATCATAGTGCCTATACTGCTTCGCCCGATACCGGATCGGGAGAAATACGGTTCCAATGTAGGTGTATACTTAAACTTTTGTCCGGATGACTTTCATGAAATATTTGAGCTGTTCGCAAATAACACTGGTTCTAAAAATCAAATATGAAAATGATGTCCACGCATTCAGGTTTACTGTGCACCATCGTGACAACTACAGCTGAATGACAGTACCGATCGTGCAAATGATGAAAACTAATGACATTTAAAATACTTAAATAAATTAAAAATTATTGAATCTGGCAGAATTTAAAAAGCAGATGTTTTCAACTTGTTTTGCAAAAACGACAAATTAGGCTTTTTTTATTAACAAAAAAAAATTTCGACGGGCACTTATCATATAAAATAATAGTCCGGGATTTATCTAAATATTCCGTATATGTATTTGGCTTCTTCTTGGAGTTCTATAGAACTGCATTTAAACCAGTCCCTTAAATTATTTAACCATAACACTCTCCTTTTTCCTATACTCCTTCCTCCTCTTATATTTCCCTGTAATATCAGCCTTAGCAGTTCATATCGCTGTCCCCTCATTACGTGACCCAGATATTGTAACTTTCTTATATTTATTGTGTTTATTATTTCGCATTCTTTGACCGTTTCTCTCGTATACTTCCGTGTGATTAGGTCGAAATACGTATCAACAGATACATAGGATTTGTTTGCGTGAAATCAAATATTTGCTGTCTTTTTCATTTTACTTCCGTGTTAGTTTCTTCTGTGTCCATGCTATTCTACACATCCTCCTGTAACACTACATTTCAAAGGACTGTGATTTATTTATGTGTTCTTGCTTCAATATCCATATTGTTTAAAGTCCATATTGCAGTATCGAAAACACGTAGCATCTCAGTGCTCTTACTCTCAGTTCTAATTTAAGGTCTTTGTTGCAGAGAATGTATTTGGCACCTAGGATTTTTCTATTGGTCCTTTGCGGCACGCGGCCATGTTTCAACCAATAGGTGGCGAGGTGCCAAATACGTAAATTATTATGGAATGTTACTTTAGTGCGAAATTCATATTCGGATGGTTAAATATTCGTAGACCCAAATAAAACGACTTCTCATTAAAATCAGAAAAGAAGAGTAAATTTAAAATAGTTGTTAATGTATTATTAAAAAAAAAGTAAATCAGTGCAATAAAACAAAATATATTTAAATAAATAATAAACAATGTCAAGTTTTTAAAATGTAATATTTATACTAAATTCAATGTCCTTCGCCATTTTTAGTTGCATTTGTTTGATCTGCTGCGATGTTGGACGAAAGATTGTAACGTCTTTTAAACCTTTTTTTAGGAAGGTTCTTGTCCAAATGAAAATTTGACCCTCTAGTAACTTTCTTCGACTGATTTAAGTTGGTTGCACTCTTCCTGTCAAGTTTAATAAACTTTCCCAAGCCGTTTTGGTTTTAACATGGGATAATCTTTCGTGCAATAACTTTAACGTTGATGAATCAGTTCCACATGTAACATTTTTATGTTGTAGCGTATTAATAAAATTTGCAAAAGAAATTTCTTGTTGTTTAACTATTTCATTTTTGTTTAAAAGAATATCTTCTCTAACATTATTTTCATCACTATTATTAACAGGAAGATATAATTAAATTATCTCAAAATTTATACAAACTTCCTAGTGAGCAAAATAATTATGTGCTTTACGAAATCGATATAGCAACAGAATTTTACAGCTGCAAAATTGGAAGATTGGGTGCATTTTGCAAGCATTAAGCTGAGCCTGCACACTTTTTTAATATATTATATCTCTTTGCAACGTTCCAGTTGCTAATCCTGAATATTGATACGAAGTAGATAAATTAGCTTTTGGCGAAAAAGATCAACCTTATACATTTTATAGAGAGCTTTCAGGATCCAGTTAATATGTTACAGAACCATTATATTAATACCAGCATTGATAACAGTGATGAAAATAATGTTAAAAGAAGATATTCTTTTAAACAAAAATGAAATAAAACAATGAACAACAAAAATCTTTTTTTGTTCCAAGATAAAATGTTACATTTTAAACTAATTCATCAACGTTTAAATTATTGCACGAAATATTATCTCATATTAAAACAAAAACGGCTTATAAACGTTTTTTAAACATGGTAGGAAGCTCCTCGGCAAGGCGATTTGAATACAAGGCCAATATAAGAGTGCAACCAACTTTTACAACCCCCTAAAGTTCAACCTAAGAAAAGAAAAGGCGTCACAATTTTTCGTCGAACATTGCAATAAATCAAACAAATGCAATTTAAAATGGCGAGGGACATTGAATTTCGTATTAATATTACATTTTAAAAATTTTAATTTTTTTATTAATTATTTAAACATATTTTGTTTTATTGCACTGATTTACTTTTTTTTTAATTATACATTCACAACTATTTTAAAATCACTCTCCTTTTTTGATTTTATTCTGAAGTCGTCTTTTTTTATCTGCAAAGATTTAAAATTCCGTATATGAATTTCGCACCAAAGTAACATTCCATAAACGTGTTTGGCACCTTGCACCTTTGGCACCCTAGAGAAGTCCTAGGTGCCAAATACATATACGGAATGTTTAGGTGCGTCCGGAATATAGCATTAGAAATACAAAAGTCGTAGTAAACCGGATGATATTAACACCCTGTATAATTATTAAACATTAATTATACAGGGTCATTAACAAAAACCTCATTAAATTTTCCATTTAAGCCGGAGTTTCACAATTATTACTTCACCCTGTATAATTCTTATTTATACCATTGAATAGCATTTTTTATAGTCTTTTCATTTATGTATCACAAGTAAAGGCTTGCAATTTAATATTTATTGGTTGTAGTCGGTGGGGCCTAAAGGTTGATGGGGGTGAGTTTTCTTTCATGTCATTTTAGTTCCCCCTTATTATCCAAGAAACGGTTTTAAACATTTATCGATGTCAGCTTTTGTTCGTGAGATATAGCCACAGTATAAAGAGGAACCTCTTTATACTGTGATATAGCTTTTGTAAGCCATTGAAAGTTTTATAATTGACACACTGTATATACAATTTTTGAATACCCAATCCACATGGTTATATTAAAAATTTTAAAAAATTAATATTGCCTTATTAATAATTTTGAATTAAAATATGAAAATAAATATTGTATAAAACGAATTTAAAGAAGTTTTGAACATAAATTTACTTTTTATTTTATGGTATAGTTTGCTTATTCGCTTTTTATTTTTTTTGCGTAGAAGAAGAATCCTGAAAAATCTTGACGAAGAAGATAAAAAAATGACTCAAAAGCTCGCCAACACCAAAATCTCGGAAGCTCCACAAACGCCCAAAAAACGAATCCCAGTTCAACATTCGAGAAGTCACGGTAACCTAACAGATAATAATTATTTGATGTCTGAGTCCCAAGATATTTCTAAAAAGAAGAACAAGATAGTCAAAAGAACAAAATCGTTTTGGAAATTTGGTAAAAGTGGCTCTGATAACGAGATTCTTGAAGGTATGTCTCTGTGGAAGCACAAAGACCTAGTTGATATAGAATCTAATATATCTGATACAGAAAATGTTAAACCCAATAAAGAAATACCCAAAAAGACGAGTTACGCAAAATCGGAGGATTCTGACACCACTATTAATAATAATAGGGTTGAACCAGCTCAAATTAAAACGCCGAATAAAAAAGAAATCACGAACAAAGATATAAAACGCAACCGAAGTTTTAACAAGAAAGATCAATTTACATCTAAAGAGTCGATTAACGAAACTGTGGAAAAACACTATAAAAAGCAAACCAAATCTCCAAACTACGAAGATCAGTTTTATGATGACGATGGTGACGGTTTGATGCTAAAAACTCTAAACCGAAAAAATATTCTACAACAGTATAACAATAGTTCGTCTGGCACAGATTCTGAATCAGAATCTGATTTGACCAGTGACGATCCATATGATTGTATCCTTGTAGACGACCAAAACGTAAAGAAAACGGAAAATCACTTTCCAAACGTTGCTGAGTTAGGTAAAAAGTTAGAAAAACTCTCTAAAGGCAGCAAATTTACTCCAGAGAAAGACAAGAATATGGCGCAAGAAAAACAGATTGAAATTATGAGGTTAGAGAGAAAAAGTCCTATGCGGCAAGAAGATATTATGCAACTTCGAGAAAACAGTTTTAAAACATTTGGTCTGGAAATACAAAACAAAGAAAATGGAGAAAAAGAAACTTTAGACGATGAAAACTATTACCCACAAGAACATAGTAGGTCAGAAAAACGAAAATACCAGAATGAACCTAGGAGGAGTCGTCCAAGCTATGAATCCATACAATCTGATATAAAATCGCGAAATAGTAGTAACAAAAGGAAAAGTGAAAAACAAAGAGAAGCAGAGAGACACGAAAGGCATAAAAATCAGTATTATGATTCCACTAATGATGAGTTTTCTGATGCCGTCGAAAGTCGTCAGATTTTACCAAGATCAAAACTAACTAAAACAAACAGCAACAGTTCATCACACAGTAAATATGATCAAGAAAGCAATTTGATGGATTATGGTGAGACGCTTCAAAGAAGGCTTAAAAATCCTGAATACAATTCCCGATTCGATGAACGATCACCTCACAATGGTAACATGTATGGGCCGTGGTACGATTTGTGGGGACTGGATTCAACAGGAACAGCGAGAAAGAAATGAATCTTTTGTAAAATAATTGCATGATGTTAAGTTGTAAAATTATTATAGGCTTTAATTTGCTGATTGTATAGTAAAATTATTTTGCTCAATTTATAGTAAGTTTTTATACATTTGATATAGATAGCCAATAATGATCATTTATGTTACACAAAAAGCATGATGTAAATAAAAAGGAACTGTTGTTTAAATTGAAAATTGGAATGGTTGATCTGGAATGGTTTTTAGTAATATATAGCTATGCAGAAATTCAGGTTTCTTATCTTGATATATACATATGTATCGTATTTATTTTTCAATACCTGTTTTACCCAACATATTTCTAATATAATCTAATATAAATTCCCTTTGGAATTTATAGTAATATTGTGATACAACATCAATGTTCGATATGCAGTTAAAAAAAGACAAAAACCTAACATGCATAAAAAGAGAAGTTATTTTTAGATATATCGTTTAATAAGTTTACTAAAGGTTACTTTACTGTAACTATAAATTATATATATATATATATATATATATATATATATATATATATATATATATATATATATATGTCATTATCTAGGAATCTTTTCATATTAAACTACCTAGCATAAAATTAGTGTCAACTTGTATTTCAAAGTTATTTTAGAAAGAATTTAGAAAGTTTTTGTTATTAATAAAAGAACTCAAAAAAATACTTTAATTTCGACGTCATCAAAATAAACACATTAATTTGATTTGATTTTTGTTGAAACCAAATAAGCTTTAATAACCTCGGCAGTGAGTATTGCAATGAGAAGATAATATAATTATGGCAAGCTTTACAGGCTGTTTCAAAAAGGTATGTCATAAATTAAATCACGCATTCCGGTGACAAAATAAATTGATTGAATCCAACTTACCCTAGTACAAAAAAGTACACAAAAAAAGTTACAGCCCTTTAAAGTTACAACATAAAAATTGTTTTTTTGTATTATTTCCTAAACTACTTCATATTTTGGAATAAAAATGGACACGTTACTTTCTTGCTCTGAAAGCATTTTTCATAAAAAAAAAAACAACAAAATCTAAGCGCACAGAAAAATTTTAAGGGGGTGTGCAGCCTTAAATCTCCCCAAACTTTTGAGTACGTTCCAATCAAATGAATTTTGTGATATTATTAGTTTAACACATTATTTTTTAAATTGTTTTGCCTTCTATCACTTTTTTTCAAAAAACAGGTTTTATTAAGTCTGTGGAAAGATGGCGAAACCACATATGTCAATTTTTGATAGTTTTCAGGAGCGCACTTTTAAGGTTTCAAACTTAATATTAATTAAGGGTGATAAAAGGTGTTGTTATGTTTTTTGTGCAATAGTACAAAAAACTGAATGTACTTCTAATGAGTGAAACATGAAGAAAGATTATTGCTAGTTTTTGGAATATCTTAAATATTTTGGATATTTGTGGTTTTGCCATCTTATAAATTAATCGTTTTATGTATATACTGTTTTAAAAGGGAAATGAAAAACAAGACATTTGTATTTTAAGTTAATGTTTGAAATGTTACAAATTGGATTTGTATAACCAATTAGTCTTCTGAATCCGAATCCAAGGCATCATCGCACAATTCGTCACATTCTTGCGTTGGATATGGTTGGCAAATTTTTATAAAAGGCATGGCAGTCTTTGTCGATCAGGTCTAACATCGATAAAAGCTTTTTCTTTAAATTAATACCCAAGGGGCTATTGTATGAGCAAGGGACAGTTATGGTAACCAGTGATGGTCGACCTTTTTCCCCTTCTTATATCTAGAGTTTTAAATGGCGCTTCATCGTCAAAGGTATACTTAAACTGAATTAGCCCAAACTCCTTGGTATATCTTAGCCATTTAATATTAAGCCAATATATCTTTTCACCTTCAGTGTCGCTTGTTCTCTTGACTAGTATGTTACGTAAGAACTTGGAAAATGTCAGAAACTCTTCTTGTCTAATATAAACCACTGTAAATTTAGATTTGCCCTTAAGCGATCGTACAAACTGAAATCAGTCCTGTGGTACCATTTTTCAAAATCATTTGAAGTTTGCTTTTTACACCTTTCAAATCGTGCGTAGTCGCTATCACAATCGAGGCGTGTATGACCTGCAAAAGAAATTTCTGATCAATTATTTCGAGAGTTGGTTTCTTCTGAATGGCATACAAAAATACAACCGCCATATTAATGTTGCGGTTTTGTCCTCTTCACGTGTCCGAATATGTGGTTACGTACTGAACGGTCTCTGATAAACTCATTACTCTACTGTAGATGCATGAGGCAATTCAATCAGAATCTCTGCCTCAAATGACTTCATACCACATAAAGCAAACAGACGATTCAGTAGAAGATCAATCAGGTATAGTAAGATTATACACAGATAATAAACCCTTATAGTAGACTATGTTATAAGCTTATAGGTGATAAATAGGGAGCTGGTAGGACTTAATGTAAATCAAAAACCAGTACTCTTTTCATTTCATCATTTTTAACTATCTCTTTGTCTTTTTGTTTGCTTTTAAAGGCTTTATTAGCTTCGTTAATGTGGTCTTCCAATTGTTCATTAATTTTTGCTCTAACTGTCTCAGTACTAACATTATTTTTTAGTGTTTGATATTCGTCACATTTGCGACATGTATCGATGTAGGGCTGTTTAAATTTGTCCCCGTACTATTGAATACCTCACGAAAAACATCATAGCTAGCAGATTTATTTAACCCTTTTTTTAATATATCTTCTTGATATTTTTTATGCATTTGACCGATGATGGTCAGGTGGTTAGGTGGCTTGATAAAAATATATTTGATTAGGATTATCTCGCCTTGTTCATCCTCTGACGATTTTTGTTTTTTAACGAGCAGATTTAGCTGGCTTACTGTTACTACATGCAGATTAATAAAAAATTCTTGCACATAGTTACAATTTTCTAAGGTTCTATATGCACTGAGTAACTAACAGTTACGACCCGATTATGTGGCTTTCCCCCATTTATACCTCTGCCTTTCATTATTTGGTATTTGCATTTAGAACGAGTCATTCTTTCACATAATACTTGTTTACGCATATCTGGAGCTTTGTTATTAAAACTAAAGAATTATAGTTTGTTGTTCAGGAGTGCAATTTTGATGACGATTTTTTGTACAACATTTTGTTATTGGTCTAAATACTACGACCACGCGACAACAACTGAAAACAATTTGATAGATGGCAAAATCAAATAAATCAACCCGTTGCTTTGAAACTGTCGCTCATTCCATATATAAAGAGGAGGGCAAAAGGAAATATGTTTGCATATATGCAATTGTCATCTTTAACAAATAATAATGTTTGGTTAATGAAAGAAGTAAATACAATATATGCATTTATATTTAGTTTTGCCAACTTTCAATTAAACGCATATCAACGTGAATAGTGGTGTTACTTTATAATATATCTGCATATAGTATATTGCCACCTCCTCAAGTACCTTACTCTAAAGGTGTTATATAGGTATAAGATATTATATGGTATAAGATATTATATGGTATTGCCATCTTAAGATGTCACTGTTTTGAATTTATTTGCTTTTGACACCTTTAATAACACATTACTTAAACATCTGCAGCATACCTTATTTTGCCATCTTCTAGATCTCATCAATATGAATATGTGGGTATAAAAATCTCAAAATGTAAAAATGTTGACACATATGCTTTTGCCATCTTTTCACAGGATACATCCCTTTTCATTAACATTTAAAAAATTACGTGCAAGTAAATAAATGGCTTAAATGAATTAACAAGTAGAAAAAATGTCTATAACCTCTATAAATATGATATTACAATAAATGTTCAAAATGACCCCCATTTTCTTTAATACACATTCAGTGTCGTTTTAATAAGGAAAACCGAATGCGCTGAAAAATCATATTTTTCTGACGAAATTGATTTGCAGCTGCAATTATTCTAACCCTCAATTGTTGTTCGTCCTCTATTGTTACAGAATACACTACCCTTACAATCCACCGACCAGGATACTGCCTGCAAAAGTATTCCTGGACTTCATTACTGTAATGCTGTAGAGCGCCATCTTGTAGAAACCACATATTTTAATTATTGCAATATGCACCTCTTCCAAATACCTTGTAAATCTTGTAAATCATTCGCAAAATACTGCAAATAATTATTACCATTTAAATTGTTGGGAAGAAATACTGGGCCTATATCCACAATTCCTGCCCAAATATTAACTTTGAAAGTCCTTTGGTGATGAGTCGTTTTGTTGGCATGATGATGTTTCTCCGGTCCAAATGTGCTAGTTATGATGATTTTTTATTCCATTTCTACTGAAGGTAGCCTCGTCGTCGGTAAACAAAATATTTCTAATAAAATTAACATTTCGAGTGTTTTTCTTTAACAACTAATTGCAAAATCCAATCCTTTTAGGATAATCTTCAATCAATAACTCTTGAACCGTTGTTAAGTGATAGGGTTTAAGCAGCTGATCCTTCAAACGCCTACCAACCATTACGTGAGAAACATTTAGTTGATCAGCTTTTACCCTAGTACTTGTTCCAGGGACTTCTTCAATGATTTCTAAAATGTCTTTATCAGTTGGATATATTATTGTATGACCACTATTGCTAGCAGCTTGCGGTTAGAATCTACCCGTTTCCCGTAAACGACGATCAATGGTCAGAAATAATCGTCTATCGAGTGTATTTCGATTGGGGTATTTTACTGCATAACGCCTTGCGGCTGCTGCACTATTTCCTTGACATTGACTTGACATTGACCTTGACCCACGATATTCCCGATAGTTTATTGAAATCATAATTTAATCTGATCCAATTTACCCAAAGTTAAATGCATATCTGTCATTTCCAGAAATGTGAAGGCCATTGTAATATTAAAATGTTTAATATTAATCTTATTTACACAATAAATGATAGCTTCAAATTATTGACTATTATTGATGGAACTGTTTGTAATTATGATATCCGTAGAAACTAATTGTAATTTTATG